TAAAAGAGAAAAATATTAAAAATATATTTAAAAATAAATTTTAGTAAAAAAAAAACTAACTGAAAATAATAAAATAAGAAAATAAATCCCATAATTCTTAATTATTATTAAAATAGTATTAGTTAATAGTTTTTGTTATTTAATTCTTTTAAAAAAGTATTAATATTTTATTTTTATGTTGAATTACTATCAACCAACCAATTGTTAATGCAAAAATAGATTAATTTTTGTGATAGCATTGAAGTAAAACATAATAATTTCTTCTCTTATTTTAAAAAATAATAATTAACCAATAAACTTCCAATTTATACTAAAATGAAAACTTTTTTAAATTCTAATCTAATGATTTAACAAAAAATGGTTAAAATATACTTTTTAGCGTTAATAACTAATTTCAACGTAAGTTCTAATCCAAGTCAATAGAACTAAGTTCTTTATTTTTTCATATGTCAATTGATTTGCCGCTTACTTCTACTGAAGACTCTTATGAGTCAAGTATTGAAGGGATTCTTTATAACCCAACACCTACAAAAACAGATTCGACAGGTATTTCAGAAGAATATGCATTACATGGTTGGGGGAATGATTCTTCTTCTACAGATTTTTTATTATATGACTCACAAGGTTCTTCATTTTTTGATGAAGTTATTTTACCACAAGAAGAAAATACAAACAATGACCATATTAATAAAGACCAAAACAGTCTTGTACAAAGTCTTGATAGTAAAAACGTTCAGGAAGAAAAAGTTCTAAAAGATACTGAAGAATGGGTAAACACAAAACAACTAACTGATAAAAGAAAAGATAAACTTGCACGTATAACCGGAAGAAGAAATAGTTTAGAAAAACTTTCACCTTTTCTTTATGCTAATTCTCCAGAAGAAGCAAAAAGAAATGCTAAAATGGTTTTTAGTAGTGATGTTTTAAAACAAAAACTTGGAGAACGTGCCTTACCTGGTGATATTTCTTGTATTAATAGTGAAAGTATTAAAGGAGCAAGAGTTGCTCATGGAACAAATAAACCACCAAAAGAAAAAATGGAAAAAATAACAAAAGTACTTGGAAGAAGAGAGTCTATTGGAAGTATTGCTGATTTACTTACAGCTAAAACTGAATCAGATGCAATAGAAAATGGACTTAAAATTAGAAAAATGGAAAAGTTAAAAAAAATGGCTGGATTGTGAAAATAATATCATTTCTGTTAATACTTACATAAAAATATGTTATTTGAAATATATATTAAAAATTATATTTTTATGTTTTTTTTTTTTTTCATTTAAACTAAACTCTTTCTTTTTTCTAATTATTATTTTTTTACTTAAGATTACTTAATATTCTTATTTTACTTCATTTTATTCTTTCCTATTAATTAAAATTATTTTATTAATGATGCTTAATAATATTTAATAAAAATATTTCTATAAAATAATTAAAACATAAATTTATTAAAAACCAAACAAATTCCTTTTAAATTCTTGAGTTGAGCATAAGTTTTCTCATAACATTACGAACTATTCTGCTAACAAGAACAGAATTTTGATTTCCAAATCTAACAATTTTTTTAGCAGCAACCTTCTTGGTAATATTAATTTTTTTATTGTTTTTAGCAATAACCTTAGTCATTTTATTAACCATCTTTTTCATTTCTTTCTTATTGAGCTTTTTAGCCATAGCCTTAACAAGAATTTTCATTTCTTTCTTTTGACATTTACTTCCATTTAATTTCTTTACCATCTTCTTAGCAGCTTTTTTAGCAACTTTTCTAGCAGCTAATTGTTCTTTAGTCTTCTTTATAGCTTGTTGAATCTTCTTAACAGTCATTTTCTTACATAAAAGAACATTCTTTTTAGTTGCAGCAAGTTCTTTATTTGCTTTATGAGCTACTCTCTTTGCTTGTTTAAGATCACGTCTGGCTGAATCTAATCCACGTCTAAGTTCTTTTACTTTGTATTTAAGAATTTGATTCTTCTTATACATCTTATTGTCAATTGTTTTCTTTGTTTGTTTCTTAATTTTAAGAATCTTTTTAGAAGCCTTCTTAATATATCTCTTTGCAGCCTTTCTGCTCATTTTTCCGCTAGCAATAGCAGACATTCTGAGAAGTTGTTTTTGAATTCTAGCATAGTTCTTTTTATTAAGTCTTCTATTTCTTAATAATTTTGAAGCACGTTTATAAAGTTTCTTAGCAAGTTTTCTATATCTTCTAATAGCCTTAACCCTTCTTCTTCTTGAAACGTTCTTTCTGGCACGAACACTTCTTCTATGAACGTGCTTTCTATTTGGTTTATTAGACTTACGACTAACATGTTTTCTGTTGGCCTTATGGTTTCTTCTTAAAGCCTTTCTATGAAGTCTTGATGGATGTCTTCTATGGTGTCTTCTGTGATGTTTTCTATGACGTCTCCATGGATGTCTTCTGTGATGTCTTCTATGACGTCTCCATGGGTGTCTTCTGTGATGTCTTCTATGACGTCTTCTTCTCCATTTTTCATCATCATCATCGTCTTCTTCTTCTTCATCATCGTCTTCTTCTTCTTCTTCATCGTCTTCTTCTTCTTCTTCGTCATCTTCTTCTTCTAATTCATCACCTTCGTCTTCTTCTAATTCGTACTCATCTTCATTATTATCAACATTTTCTTCTTCTAATTCAAATTCATTATCAAGTTGATAATCATCTTCAAGTTCCACAGCACTTACAAAAGCCAAACACAAAAGTGCAACTAAAATGAATTTCATTATAATATGATTTCCAAATTCCTAGTTCGTCATTAAGTATCTACGTGTAAATTATTTTTTTAGTTTTTTATTGTTATTTTCATTATTAATTTACAAACCGTAAATAAAAATGTTTCTCTTCGAAAGTTTCCCGACATCTTACATCTCTGAAAGTGAATTTTTAATAAATAAAAATTCTCATTAAATAATTTAGAACTTAAAATTCATTGATTGGCTATTATTTATAGACAAAAGACTTTTTTAATCTATTTTTTTATAACAACAAATTTGTATCAATCTACTTTTCTTAATTTTTCTAATATATTGTGTTTTATATCACATAAAAATTTCGTTTAATATTTTATTAAAACAAGAAACTATTAAATTCACATAACTTTTGAAAATTTATGAATTACCTAACAATTTTCAAAAATAAGAAGAATATTTTTTATTTTTTTTATAAAGTAACATCATCATACTTTTTAATTAGAGAAGATTCTTTTCATCTTATTTGAGTAAAGAAGACTACCTAACGTGTTTATTCTTTAAGTAACTGTTTTAACTTTAAGATGATGAAACTTATATATGCTTGAAGGTTCATAAATAAATGGTTCAAAATAAATATAAAAATTTAAATAATTAAAGTAATTTATTGATAAATTAAGTAAACTAAAAATTTATATTGTTTTGAAAAAATGAGATGAAAAATTTAATTAATAAATAGTGTTGTATAAGTAGTTAGTCATTATTTAGTATTAATTTTAGAGTCATTGTATTGAGTTCTGATTAATAAGTCTTAATTTACTTGTTCTGTTAATCTTTATTTAAGTGTAATACTCTGGAATTGTATTTACATATAAAAATGTAATGGCTTATTTTATTTTATTAGTTTGTTTGTTTACACTGTTTTTTTTCTAGTTATCTTTTCTTAGTGTTGTATTTTCTATTATTATTGAGCATTTTGTAATATAACAATCTTCTATTCTATTATAAACAGAATATTCAAAAAAATTTTAAAAGCAAATTGGAAAATCTAAAAATTTATAATGTTTTTATTAGTCGTGTTGTTATTATTCCTTCAAAATATTGTAGCTGAAGAAGAAGTTAATGAACTTGATGACTTTCTTGACTACGAAGAAATGGAGGACTTTTTATTTGGGGATGAAGAAATTGAAGATGAATATTCATTGGAAGACACTTATAATCCTTTTGATTCAAAACCCATAGGAAAAAGATATAATTATGTTATGAGGTTTGAACAAAATCTAAATTTCGGTGGTATAATGTAATCATGAAACTATTTCGTGTTTGCTTGGTTTAGTTATTCTTGTTTATATCTTCTTATCACTCAAAGTTAAGAAAATGAAATTTGAGTGTAAATATTTAACTTTAAAAAGTCTGTTTATATGTTAAATATAAAAAATGAAATTAAGTTGCTGGTACTGTTTTATTCTGTCTCTCTCAATACCAACACGTCATACTTTATTGCCTAATTATTCTATAATTAGTTATGTTTCTATGCAATATAACCAAGAAATTTAGTTCATCATAATTACGTTAATACCTTTTCTTGTTCTCTAAGTACAGTTTTACTATATCCTTTTCAATCTTCATAATACTTCCAAAAACTAATTATTACTGAAACAATTCCCATCATTATTCTTTTATTTTTCATTTTTCCATATGACATTGAACCACTAATCTGCATAAAAAATTCCTCCTGTTGTCTTTTTTGTATTTCAATTGATAATTATAAAGTTTTAAATATATCGTAGAAAATAATTAAAACTCTGCCAAAATCAAACCCAATAAACAACTTAAAACTACCAAAAAATCAGATCTAACATATGTCAAATAGTCTAACGTTACAACTGAATAACTCTACATGAATCTTTTTCCTAAAAAATTTACTCTAAACAATGACTCAAAAAAAGATAAAAAGCATAACTAAAAAATCATAAGCATCACTAATTGAACATTCATAAAGATAAAATAAATCTTTCTGCTTCATTAAATATCATACTTGGCATATAAAAAAGCATCTCCTTCTAAAAATACTTTAGAGAAAACCTTTCATTAGAGGTTTCTTATTTCTATTAACCTTCATTTATTTTATATTATTCTTAAACAATAATAAGAAAGGTTGCAAAAATAATTTGACAGAGATAATTTTTTCTTCTGACATTGTCATTCAAAGAGTTAATAAGAACAAACCTAAACATAACTTTATTTAAATGAAATTTAATATTA